CCGGAAGTGGGTGCCTTCCAGAATGTTCAGATCCTGAAGTTTTAAAAAGCGTGTCTAATACTGTTGTTTATTCATTCATTCAACAAATATTGAGGGTCCCTGTGCGCCGGGCGCTGGGGATACACCAGCAACACGGCATCCTGCCCTCCCGGGCTCACATTCTAAAGGGGAAGACAGTCAACAGGTGAGCAGTCAACAGGTGAGCAGACGGTAACTTCTCCCAATGGCCGGCCCGTTAGGAGCCCGGGGCTAGCGCGCTTTAAACAGAGCGGACGGGGAACTAGCAAGAAGGGATCCATCCGCTGGGGACTGGGAGTGCGGGCTGCCTGGGGGAAGAGAGAGAACCCCACAGGCAGGTTCTGACAGCTCAGCGGGGGCCTTGCTGGCCAGGGGCCGGGCTTCATTGAGAATTAGACTCCACATGTGATTTAAGCTTCAGAAAGGTAAGCTTCTTGTGGGGGGAGGCTAGCTGGGGTGATGGGGGCAAGCGGGGCGGGGGGCGGCCAAGGATGGGATGGAAGTACCAAGGAGAAGACGAACAGGACATACCAGGACAGAAACACGAAAGCGAATGTGACCAAAGTAGCAGTGTGTTCAGATCCCTTTTGGCCAAGTCGCCAAAGTGAAGAGCGCTCCCGTGAGCGCCCGGCGGATCTGGGCTGCCATCGAGGCTTAAGCTCCTCGGCGGTGTGACCTTGGCAGGTGACTCTGCCTCCGCGCGCCTCAGTCTCCTGGTCTGCACGATGGGGTGACCGCAGCGCCTGCCTAACGGGGCTGCCGCTGCCATCGCGCTCGCTCGCGTGGCCCAGCCGAGCCCGGTGGTCGCCGAGCAGCTGCGGCGGCGGCGACGGTGAGTAATTCGTTACTAAGAATAGTGAGCGCCCCTCTCCCCGCCGCCGCCGCATCCAAGCCGCCGCCGCCGCCGCCGCGCGCCAAGGCGAGGCTGACCCTTAGCCTCGGCTCCGATCCCGGCTCGGATGCGGTCCCCCGACCCCCTGTCCGAGCGCCCCTTCCAGGCCCCCGCCCCCACCTCCCTCCCGCTCACCTGGGCCGCGGCGGCCCGGGGATGTGCTCGTAGCGGCTGCGAGCGCGGTGCACGAAGGTGCAGCAGAGGCCGAAGGCGACCAGGACGGCGCTGCCGAGCAGCAGCAGCAGCCCGGGGCTCATGGCTCCCGGGCAGGCCAGGCCAGGGTCAAGGCCGGGCACGGAGGGGGCGGGAGGCCGCGCGAGCAGACTCAGCTGTCAGCGCCAGCGCCGCCTCGGCCCCAGGCCCGGCGCGACCTAGCGCCGCCCCCGCCGCTCGGCTCCGCCCCAGCCGGCCCCGCCCACTCCCGGGGCGCTGGGTCCCCACCAACCACGTCTCCGATTTCAGCTCCGCTCGCGGGGCCCGCCCCCGTTCTGCCCCGCCCCTCCTCAAGCTCCGCCCCCAGTCTTAATAAAAGTCCAGGAGAGGCCCCGCCCACAACATGTGGTCTTCGCCAATCACAACTCCGCTTCTGGCTCAGACCGCAGGCCCCGCCCCTCCTCGCTTCTCCAGGCCCCGCCCTCAGACAGCAAGCGCTACTCCGAGAGAAGCTCCGCCCACAACGCGTTGTCCCTGGCAACCTGGTTCCTCGGAGCTTGCCATCCGAGGGGCTCTAACTCCTGCTGGCTGGCTCAGCTTTCTTGGGCGCCTCCAAACAGCATTTCTCCGCGTGAGCGGTCCCAGGTCCCTTCATTTCCCCCCTAAAACCTTCCTGGAAACCCAGCCCAGTGTCCAAATCTCTGCATTACACCAATTGTTCCCAGCCCTCTCCCTGGAAACCCCAGGCCCCAAAGCTGGTTTTCCCTGCCCGGCCTGTCCCTGGGTCTCCCAGCCGGGCTCATGGGACAAGGGACCAGCACCCCGGGGACACAGGGAGGCCTGTGTCTGCTAAGGAAGAGCTCACGAGGCTGCTCTCCAGGAATCCCGGGTGCTTCTGGAACCTCCCGGATCCAAGGAAGCCGCGTCGGAGGCGTTGACGCCGGTCCCAAGGAGCTGGAGTCGGAGCGGCTGAAAATCTGGGTACGGAAGGTCGGTGTGGCCAAAGGGTACTCTTGAGCCATAATGACCAAGACTTCTCTCCCTTTTATAACCTGCTTCTCCGTATCCATATGTCCAGAGAGGACAGAAGAGGCCAGCTCTGAGCTTGTTCGTTCCCAATTCTACACTCAGTGCCCCCCAGAAAGAAAGTATTGGATGGGAAGGGCAGGTGTGCCCACCCCTAGTCCAGATAAAGATCCCCGGGGTGGTGAGGGGGCCGCCCCAAGACAAATGCTGCTGGGTTTCTGAGGAGAGAACATGTCCCCTGCCCACGCGTGGACCAGTCCAGGGCAGTTTTGGGGACTGGAAAACAGAAAAGGTACAGCCAAGAACAGCCCCCATTAGGAATACGACTGTCAGGGCTGTAGGGGCTGCGCGGTGACAGACAGCGCCAAGCTTTAGATCTGGGCCCAAGCTCCTAAGAGACAGGATTTCTGCCCAGGACCACAGCCAGGGCATCCTTCCTGGAGCGGGGAACAGGAGCCACCTCTCCGTAGGGCCAACAGATGGCGCGCCCCCGTGTGGCGGTGAGCAGCAGCCGCAGGCGCAGACGGGAGACCTCTGCTGTGGAGAGGTCACAGCCCAGAAAGGCTGCAGGGGTTGGAGGCATTTGAAAGGATGACCCCGAACAATTGTTCTGTGAGGGCAAGGAGGGCAGGGCCAGGTCCTGAACTGTTGAGGCCACAGTCTGGGTCCCACATTGAGGCAGGCATGAGCAGCCTCAGGGTACAAGTGGGAGTGGGAGTCTGTACAGCCAGATCTAATGAGATGAGTGGGTGTTCCTTAATATTCTCTGCTGCATAGGTCAGCACCAGGTTCCTTAATATTGTGACCGTGGCTCAAACTGGCATCTTTGTCAACAGAGCACTCCTGTCCCTGCTGGGGCGAGTCAAGTGTCCCCTCCCCCTAACCACCTCATCCTCATCCTCATCTTCATCCTCATCCACATCCTCATCCTCTTCCTCTTCCTCAACCTCTCAGCTCTCCTGTGATTCGGTGGGGAATAATGAGCCGGCTGGCAGCACAGGGAGCTACCAGAAGAGGGCGCCACTGGGAAGCACATGGCCAATCACCTGGCTCTCCTGTCGGTCACCTCTCCCCCATTCCTCTTCTCTAGAGCGGTGGGGAACCGCCCTGGCCCTCCAGGAAATCATTCGGTCACACGTGACTATCAAGCACTGAAGCATAAGTAACCCAAACTGAGATGGGCTGTGTGTGTGAAATACACAACGGATCCCATCAATTTAATACAAAAGGGCTCTAAATCTCATTGATATGTTTATATTGATTACCTACTAAAATGACAATTTCTGAGTATGTTGGGTGAAATGAAATGACTATTAAAATTCATGTCACCTGCTTTTCACTCTTATCATAGGGCTACCAGAAAACCTGGAATTGCCCACGTGGCTCTCATCACATTTCCGCTGGACAGCGGTGGCACCGGCGATGGTTCTCAAAGTGTGGCCTCGGTGCGCACATCAGCATCACCCAGCGTCACAATGCAAATGCTCTGCCCCACCGACACTGACAGGGTCAAAACCTCTGCTAGGACTTGGCAACTTGTGTTTTAGCCAGCCCTGCAGGTGATTCTGTTTAAATTTGAGAATCACCAATTTGACCCAATGACCCCACTTCTAGGAGTATGTCCTAAGAACCCCGAACACCAAGCAGAAAGAATGTATGCACCCCTACGTTCATAGCAGCACAACTTACAACAGCTAAGATCTGGAAATGGCCCAAGCGCCCATCAGGAGATGAGTGGATAAGAAAGCGGTGGTACATCTATGCCGTGGAATACTATGCAGCTGTAAACAAGAAGGAACTCTTCCCCTTTGAGACAGCGTGGAGGAACCTGGGGAGTATCATGCTAAGTGGAATACGTCAGTTGGAGAAAGACAAGTATCCCATGATTGCACTCACATGTGGAACCTAAGTAACAAAGTAAACTGATGAACCGAGTGGATCCAGAGACATGGAAGCAAGGAACAGAGTGAAGAACCTCAGAGGGAAGGGCGGGGGGGGGGAGGGGTGGAGAGTGGATGGGTGGGAGGTAATTAACCAAACACCTTGTATGCGTATATGCATAATAATAGGGTGGTGAAGGCAGTGGGGGGGGGGTGTCAAGCTGGAGGAGGCTCATGGGGGAAAACGGGAACATATGGAATACTTTCAACAGTAAAGATTTATAAAAACAGAAACAAAAAACAGAAACTTATTCTCTCTCTACAAAAAATATATATATACAAGAGAAAAAAAGGAATCCCCAGTATAGATGATGCCATACAGAAGTGGTTTCCCAGCAGGCTTTGCAGAGGGCGCTGCAGGCAGAAGAAAGAGGGAGCCCTGAAGTGGCCGTCCTCCGCTGAGTGGCTGGCAGGGGAGGATGGGGAAGGGGCGGGGGGCTGGACTCAGAGCTGCCTCAGCCTCTGAAGGTGGGACCCAAGACCAGTTAGTCGCATAGCCGTATTGGGGTCCACCCCCTCGTCTGGAAAAGAGCCGGTGATATCAATGCCATTGGGGGCCTTTGTGAGGATTAATGAGCCGGCACACCGGGGAGCCTGGCACTTAGTCAGTGCTCACTGAATGCTGGTTCTCAGCAAGGGGTGAGGAGATGGCTGTCCCCTCAGAAGTCGCAGGTTCTACAGGTTAGCGTTAAGAGCCTTATCTTCCGCCCGTTTTAAGTATCTGTCCCGGTCATTCTGTTGTGGTCCCTCCACGTGGCTCAGCCCTCCCCACCAGGGGGCAGCGGCCAGTGTGGGAACCCCCAGCCTGGCGACCAGCTTTCTGTCCAGGGAGCAACCTGGAATGAGCTGGGCATGTTTGCTTTCCTTTGTTCCATGCTGCCCCCTGGTGGTCAGTGCACAGCATAGTGAGCAATCAAACTCCCAAGGAGACAATTTGCATATTAGCCTTTTATATATATATATATATGTCAATCTAATAAATTCAACAACAAAAATTTAAAAATTTGTATAAAAAAAAAGAGGATTAAATGAGTGAAAATAGGAGCAGTGCCTTACATGTAGGAAGTGCTCAACCAATGTCGGCCGTCCACCCTGGTTAGCGCTATTGAGGAGCAGTGAGTCTGTTGACACAGCCAGGGGCCATGTCTGCCCTTAAAGGGTGGTGCCCTCAGTGCTCAGGGTCCCAGGGCCAGACGGGGTTCATGCTGCTGCTCAGAGGTAAGAAAGGCTAGGACTTCCCCCAACACACACACACACACACACACAGGGCCCCGGGCTTCAGCACACACGGGACACAGGAGCAGGGACACACAGAGAACACGGGCACGGCCGACAGCTCAGTGAGGGCTGCAGTTCAGATGCTCCACCCTCTACATGGCCGCCTCCACCCTCCACTGGGCACACGCAGGCGGAGGGCCTGCCAGGCTCCGGCCCACTACCCTCGCCCGCGGTCCGGGTCCTCCTGGCTGCACACGACGCCCGCGTCCTCCTCGTGGCTGCAGTTGTGCGTGCCCAGGCCCGCGTGCCCGCACTGCAGCAGCGTCCTCTCGCCGCCCGCGCAGCGCACGTTGTCCAGCAGGATGGGCAGCGCGCCGCCCTCCCCGAACTCCGCGCCCTTGGCGGCCCGCGCGGCGTGGGCGAAGCCCAGCTGGCGGCACACCACGGCGGCCGCCCGGACGTCCCAGCCGTCGTCGCACACGGTGCCCCAGCGCCCGCCCGCGAACACCTCCACGCGCCCGCGGCCCGGGCTCAGGCCTGCGGGCCGCACCAGGCGCACCGCCCCGTCTGAGGGCGCAGCATGCTCAGCGCCAGGCCGGCCCCGCCGCCGGCCGCCCACCCTCCGACCACCGGGCCGCCGGGTGGGCCTTGCTGGGCGTGGGGTGGGCCTTGCCGGGTTCGACGTGGGCGTGGCCGAGCTCGGGGTAGGCCTTGCAGGGCGCGGGGTGGGCCTTGCTGGGCGCGGGGTGGGCCTTGCCGGGTTCGACGTGGGCGTGGCCGGGCTCGGGGTAGGCCTTGCAGGGCGCGGGGTGGGCGCGGGCGGAGGGGCTGTGGGGCGGCCGCGCCTGGGCACCTCCGTGGGCGCGCGCTCTGTGGGCCGAGGGGTGCTCTGGGCCGTCCGGATGAACTCTGCAGAGGAAGAGGCTGCAGTCAGAGCGGCCTGACCACCCAGCTCTCCATCCCCGAATGCAGACTTGGGGAAAGAGGTCCTGTTCCACCCTCCACTCAGATACCCAGGCTGCGTGCCTCCCGGGAAACTGTGGTCCTCAGGTGCTGAAGATTGGCACTCCTCCCTGCCTCCCCACCAACCCAGCCCCGACACCCCCTGCCCGCGGGACCCTGGCACCCGGAATAACTTCCCAGCACTCCTTGCTCCCACAGGCACACCCGCTCCCCCTGTGCCTCTCAGGGCGTCTCAGTGCACTTCCCTGGAAACAGCTTTCTCCCTTTGCGTGGCCCCTTTGAGACTGGCAGCCCCTTTGTGCCACCCGCGATGGCACTGCCCACTGCCCACTTTAACTGCATGTATACTGTGTGCCCAGCACAGGGAGGACCCACGCGGGTGCGGGCTGTGGGAGCGTCCCTCCCACACGGGGTCCCCGTCGGCGAGCACTTACTTTCTTTGGGCACAAATGGGATGAGGCGGCTCCTCACCGTCACCTGGACCGGCTGGATCTGGCACGTGCCAGGGGGCGCCCGTCTGCCAACACGGGGAAGGTCCTGAGCCCGGCCCCGGGAGCCCGCCCTGAGCATGCCCGTGTGCGTCCAGGCCTGGGCAAGGAGCACCAGCGGCCATTGGTGGGCCCCCAGGTGCTCCGTGCCCCGGGTCTACGGGAGTCCAGTCCCAGGACAGGAACCCCTCATCCCACTTCTGCACAAGACGGGTGGCTCACCTGAGCCCCTCCTCAATCCAGCCTGGCCTGTCCTCTGAGCCTGGTCCCAAATGGCATCCTCCTCCCCCCACAGGCTGCCTGTCCAACTCCTGTCACTGGAACGACCCGGCCCCGGCCACAGCCTTTGGGGACGGTCCCTGCCCCCTGGCCTCCCCGATTTCCGTGATGCAGAAACAGAGGCTCCTCTGCCTGCAGGAACCAGGGGGAGATTCGGTCCATCGAAAGGAAGGAGGTGGCGAGACTGTGTCTCAGGGTTGGCAGCAGAGCTGGGGGACCCGGGGCCTTCTGCGGGGAGGAGGCGGGGAGAGGAGAGCGTAGAGAGTTGGGAGAGAAAAGAGTCAGAAAAGGTTGCCAGGACTATGAATTGGGCTCTTCTGGCATCTTCGAGGGGCACCGGGGAGGAATGGAATTTCGTTTTAATTAGTTTTTGGCTCTCGATCTGTGAGTCTTTGAATGGGACCCGCCGATTCTGGGCTGACCATGTGGGAACAGACTTCAATAGGTTCTGCCAGCTCAAGGGGAATGCCAAGGGGTGAAGCAGCCACGTGACACGAGGGGCCTCCAGACGGGCTTGGCCAAAGAGGGAAACCGTGGGCCTCCCCTCCCACCCCCTCCCCGCCAAGGCTGAAGAAACACGTGCAGGCAGCACTTATCTGAGCTGGAGAGGGTGGGTTTTCTGGGGTCCCTGAACCCAAATAATATCCATACCCCCCTACCCAGACCCAGCAGGGGTTGGTTCCTCCAGGAAATTATGAAAAACATGTTTGTTATGCAGAAGGTAGGCGATACACCAAAAGCTGCCACATAAATGCCATTGTTTGGGCAGTAATGAATAGCCCGCCCCCACCCCTCCACCTGCTACGACCTCATGTCTCTGTTCTCCAAAGATTCTGCCATGGGGCTCCGTGCAATACATTGCAGGGCAAAGCAGCATGCTTATTCCAAGAGAGAAAAGCGAAGGGGATGAGAAGGGTCAGGAAGGAAGGGAGGGCGTCTGGCCGGCTCCTGCCTCCTCCCACACACGAGACCTTGAGCAGAACCGGCCTCGGCCGCGGGGTAAGCCGATATCATGCGGCACCAACTAAGGCAGTGCCGGTCCAAGGCACAGAAGTCAGGTGCTCCGTGCGTGTGGCAGCTCCTTAGAGAAGCATCTGCTTTGAGCGTCGGAAACGCCCAGGAGCGGGAGAGACAGCGAGGGCGCCCTGACCCAACAGAAAATTACTCGCCATTAAAACCGACCCTTCTGCAGGTGGTGTTGCACCGTAGACATGTTTATGCTGAACGGGGAAAAGGAACGGGGGAAAATGCAAAGGTTGCAGGTGCCGTCCCCAGTGAGGTAAACCCTGGCACCACCCACGTAAAGATGGGGAGACCAAGGGAAACAGAAGGGGTGTGGCGAGAGGAAGTGCTTATGTTTTTCTTGAGAAATATGTCAATAATGAACAGGCTGGCCCCAGCCGGTTTGGCCCAGTGGATAGAGCGTTGGCCTGTGGACTGAAGGGTCCCAGGTTCTATATGGGCCAAGGCACATGCCCGGATTGTGGGCTCAATCCCCAGTCGGGGGCGTGCAGGAGGCAGCCGATCCATGATTCTCTCTTATTATTGATGTTTCTATCTGTCTTTCTTCCTTCCTCTCTGAAATCAATAAAGAAGTATATATATATTTTTAAATACATATTTTATTGATTTTTTACAAAGAAGAAGAGAGAGGGACAGAGAGTTAGAAACATTGATGAGAGAGAATCATCGACCAGCTGCCTCCTGCACATCACCCACTGCGGATGTGCCCACAACCAATGTACATGCCCTTGACCGGATCGAACCTGGGACCCTTCAGGCTGCAGACCGACGCTCTATCCACTGAGCCAAAGTGGTTTCGGCTAAATGCTTATGTTTTTCTTGAGAAATATGTCAATAATGAACAGGCTGGCCCCAGCCAGTTTGGCTCAGTGGATAGAGCATTGGCCTACATACAGAGTGAAGGATATCAAGGGCACAGGCCCGGGTTGCGGGCTCAATCCCCAGTAGGGGGTGTGTAGGAGGCAGCCGATCAATGATTCTCTCTTATTATTGATGTTTCTATCTGTCCTTCCTTCCTCTCTGAAATCAATAAAGAAACATATATTTTTTTAAATAATTAACAGGCCGGTTTGGCTCAGTGGATAGAGCACCGGCCTGCAGACCCAAGGGTTCCGGGTTCCATTCCAGTCAAGGACACGGGCCTCTGTTGCAAGCTTGATCCCCGGCCCTGGCTGTGTGCGGGCGGCAACCAATGGATGTCTCTCTCTCCTCGATGTTTTCCTCTCACTCTCTCCCCCTCCCTTATATTCTCTCTAAAAATGAATGGGAAAATTTTCCTCATGGGAGGATTAACAACAACAAAATAGAACAGTAATAATGCACAGATCTGTGCTTTAAGAAAAAAAATGCGGTAGACAGCAAAGCTGTCACAGACCAGAGGAAGCTAAGGAGATGTGAGGACTAACGTAATTCTGGAACAGAAAAAAGAATGTGGGAGAAAAACTAAAGAAATTCCCTTTAAAAGTTTATTAATTAAAACAACAACAACAACAACAAAAAAGGAGATTGAAAAACCTGATAAACAATAATAGCTGTTCATTTTAGTAGAGTCAGCGATATGGGAGGGGAGTGGACTTACTGTTCTCGAGGAAAGGGGGATTGGTGGAGGGGGGAAGAGACTGAACATAAAATGTGCACCCCTATGGATGAGGACAATGGGGGGTGGGGAGGGGGCAGAGGGTGGGGTGGGAACCTGGTGGAGGAGGGAAGAAATGAGGAACCTTTGTAATAATCTGAACAATAAAGATTGATTAAAAAAAAAAAAAAAAAGACCCTTTAAAAAGTGCAGTTACCTCAACTTGAAAAAGGAGTATAGAGTTTAAGGAATGGTGAGGCACCAATATTGCTTGTTAATTGTGACAAAGGTGCTATAATAATGTAAGACATTTAAAGAATAGAGGAAAATCCTATATAATAAAGAGGTAATATGCAAATTGACCTTCACACCATTACACAATATGGCCACCCCATGTGGTCAAATATAGCCACCACAAGATGGCCAGCAGGGGAGATCAGTTGGGGGGATCAGGCCTGCAGGAGAGGGCAGTTGGGATCAACCAGACTGGCAGGGGAGGGCAGTTGGGGGCAATCAGGCCAGCAGGGAAGCAATTAGGTGTCAATCAAGCTGGCAGGGGTAATCAGGCTGGCAGGCAGGCAAGCAGTTGGGAGCCAGCAGTCCTGGATTGTGAGAAGGATGTCTAACTGCATGGGTTTAGGCCTGATCCCTGTGGGCAGTCAGACATCCCCTGAGGGGCTCCGTATTGGAGAGGGTGCAGGCTGGGCTGAGGCACCTCCCCCCCCCAAGCGCACAAATTTTGTGCACTGGGCTTCTAGTAAATAAATAAGAAGGGTGACGAGCATATGGGGAAAATGCTGTATTATCTTTGCAACTTGTTTGTAAACCTAAAGCCATTCTTAATTCTAAATGCTTTAAGTTTTTTTAAAAAATGTGATGCTGGGGCTTGCGCTCTGACGCCCTCCTATCACGGACAGAGGTGGTCTTGGAAGCTGGCAGTCTGGACTTGAATCCTGAGTCTGCCTCTCACCAGTAGTATGGGCTTGCCTAGTCACTTCCCTCTTGGGGCCTCAGTTTTCTCATCTGGAAAAGGGGAGTGTGAGTAACCTCCGCCTTAGGGAGTGCCAGAGAGAGAAACTGAGGGGCAGGCTCCCGGAAGAGCACGTCAGCTTCGGCCGCGCCGGGTGCGACTCACCGGGAGGGGTCGATGATCTTGTACACGGCCCCACGCGCTGCTGTGGCGCTCGGCACGCTCGTAGACATGAAGTACAGCTCCCCTGGGACGAGACGCCAGGCAGGGAGTGAGCATGCCGCCCGGAGGCCGTCCCTCGGCCCCTGCCCCCACCTCCAGCTCTGGGACCACCCCCGGCCTCAGGAGGCCAGCCCTGAGGGGTGCAGGCCCACGCAGCTCTCCCTCCCGCTCCCGGGATGGAGCAGCCTGAGAAAGGCTGGCCTGTCCGGGGGCCTCTGTGGCTCTCCAGGGCAGGGGCCACTCTGCCGGGCCACCAGGCTCGACCCTCTGGAGTCCCCGGTCACCTGCTTGGGTTTCACGCCCAGCACCACCCACCTCTGGGCACAACGAGGGTCCGTGCCCCAGCTCCTTTCTAGCTGCCTGCTGGGCACTGCGGGCACACCTGGCTCCCCCCTCAGCTTCCTCACCCCAAAATGAAATGCCTCATGTGACTGTCATTTGGATCTATTTTTATTGGGGAGAGAGAAGGAGAGGGAGAGGGAGAGGGAGAGGGAGAGGGAGAGGGAGAGGGAGAGGGAGAGGGAGAGGGAGAGGGAGAGGTAGAAGGGAAGAGGGAGAGAGAGGGAGAAGGGAAGGGGGAGAGGGAGAGAGGAAGAGGGAGAGGGAGAGGGAGAGGGAGAGGGATACATCAATGATGAGAATCATTGATTGGCTGCCTCCTGCACGCCCTCTGCTGGACATCGAGCCAGCAACCCAGGCATGTGCCCCGACTGGGAATTGAACCGTTACCAGGGTGACCTCCTGGCTCACAGATTGATGCTCCACCACTGAGCCACACGGGCCGGGCAGGACTTAACAGAGTTAAGCTTATCGGAGCACACAGCCAGTGTGCAGTCAGCGCCAGCTCTGACGGCTGATGTCAGTCACCCGGGACCTGGGTCCGGCCAGGTACTGGAGGCTGGAGGCTGTCTCCCCCGACGAGCCGGCAGGACAGCAGCTCGGGAGTTTCTCGCGTGGATGCCAGTCCCTGCACTCAGCCCCGTGTGAGCACCAGCAGCTGAGGGTCCGCCCCGCTCTGAGCCTCGGTTTCCCCACCTCCTGGGACCGGAGTGAAAATGCAGGGAGCAGAGTTACAAGCACCTGGCACCCTGTGCGCTCGGGGAATGTGAGTCCTCGCCACCAGAGGCGCCTGTGTCCAGGAAATAGGCTCCCTATGCCCATCTTACAGGCGAGAAAACAGCTCAGAGAGGCCGAGCCACCTGCCCGGCGTCACACAGCTGGGGAGTGTGAGCGAGGCCCAGAGCTCACACTGAGGTAGTGCACACGGGGGCCGGGAGGCCGACACCCACACTTCCTCTCGGGTCTCTGCCTGGAGAGAGGCCCTCCGAAGCCACTGCCTCCTTCCTGGCGGAGTGGCCCTGCCCTCTACACCCAGCCCCCCGAAGGCCGCTGCACACTCAGCCGCCTCAGCCTGGGATGCCTTTCTCCCCGTCTTCCTCTGCTGACCGAGTTCAAGCGCACGGCCCTCGGGGAGGCCCCGGGCACCAGTGGGTCCCACATTTCCCTCCCCAGGGCTGAGCAGAATGGCCAGCCTCCGTTTTCCCACCTGTAAAGTGGGGGGGTTGGACCGGGCATGGCCCACGCTCCCTCCAACCTCGATCTGCACAGGCAGGGGGACTCCCCCGCCCCTCCCCGCTGTCCCCAGCAATGAGGGGCCTGCCTGGGGCCATGTGGACACCAGGCCAGCAGAGGCCCTTGTTCCACAATTTAAAGGTGACCACACGTCCCGCTTTTGGCGGGACAGTCCCGATTTTTAACTAATTTACACAATTTACAGGTATCAGAGGGACAACTAGAGACACGAGACACGGAGGCTGGAGCCGGGAGACCCAGAGCTCAGAGCTCTCCGGGGGCCCCGGCCCTCGCTGGCCAGCAGGCTGCCCCGGCCGGGGCCTCCGTCTGCTGTCATGTCACTCAGTGCCACTCAGAGGGCTGAGGCAGGGCCCTGGGGAATGCATCTCCCAGGCCCTGCTTCTCTTTGGAGAGGGGGCGGGGAGAGTTAGGGGACCGAGGAGAGAGGGGGAGAGAGAGAGAGAGAGAGAGAGAGAGAGAGAGAGAGAGAGAGAGAGGGAATCTCTCCCTCCAAAGCATGTTAACCCCCTACTGACCAAAAGAAAGGGTTTGCAAGCCCCCTGGGCTCGGGGAGGGCGGTGGGGGCCGAGGCTGCCCGCGGAGGATTTAGACGCTGATGGGTGTCGGTTCAACAAAGGTTTCCCACACTCAGGCCCGGGGTCTCTGGGCACTGGGCTTGGCCAGGGGTACCCTTCCAAAGGCCCCTGGCGGGTGTTGCCCAGCAACCGGGCCAAGCATTCACGAGGCCCCACCGCGGGGCCCCTGGTCTTTTGTCCGGGGGACAATCTGGGGCCAAGGACAAAGGCAGGAGGCAGCCCCCGTGGCCCCTCCCCCTCCCCCTCCCCCTCCCCCACTGTTCCTCACATGGAAAACGCGGGTGCCCGAATAGGAGACCCACCAACAGGCGAGAAGGCCGTGTTACCCACCCTGAGGACCGTGTGGCTTCATTTTTCAGGAACCCAGGGCAGTGGAGGTCTTGGGGGGCGTTCCCCCCCAATCCTCCCACTCCCCTCCCTGCTCCTGCCCCCCCCACCCCTGCATTTTCACCAGTACTTCCTGGTCCCTAACTTGCCTGGTCCTCTAACTGCCCTGAACTCTTAAGTCACTTTGCCACACCCAGGGCAGAGGTGGGGGAGGGAAAGGAGGAGGGGGGGAGGGGAGAGGGAGGGGGAGGGGAATGGGGAGGGGGGAGAAGGGAAGGGAGAGAGGGAGGAGGAAGGGGAGAGAGAGGGGGAGAAGGAGGAGGGAGCTGAAGCTCTGACTGGTGGGGATGACGTGCAAGCAAGGCCTCCAGCCCCCTGAGCACATCACTCCTCATCCTGAAGTGGTTTCCAGGCCTGAGACCCACCCCATTCCTTACACCTCAGACCTGAGACCACATCCCTCGAACCCGAGCCGCAAGGAGCCAGGGGATGGGGGACCAGCCAGGCATGGGATCCTCCGCCGCCGCGCTCACCGGCCTCGTCCTCCCCGAAGGAGATGATGTGTGGGCGGTATTTGTTGATGAGCCCCGGGAACGCGCAGGTCTGGCCGCGGCCCATGCACAGCTCGCTGTACTGCCACTGGCCTGTCTCTGGGCTCTCTCGGAGGGACATCAGGCGCCTACAGAGGAGAACGGGCTGTGGTCACGCCTGGCATGGTGCACCGGAAAACCCCACCCACCCGTCCACCCACCCACCCGTCCACTCATCCACCCACCCATCCATCCACCCACCCATCCACCCATCCACTCATCCACCCACCCACCCACCCGTCCACCCACCCACCTGTCCACCCGTCACCCACCCACCCACTCATCGATGATGCATGCAGCTGTGGCGGGCAGTTAGCCGGACAGGAGCAGAGCAAGGACGATGGGCAGAGCAGGTACAGAAGGTCACCAGGGCGGAACACCCCAGGGGCCCAGCCAAGGACAAGTGTAGGGGGACCTCGTCCCCAGGGTGACCTTTCCTCCCCTAGCATCCCGCTGCTCCTGCTGCTGGGTCTCCCTGATTTTCCTCCTTAGAGATAGCCAGGCCCAGCTGTGTTTCCGCTCCAGGCCCAGAAAAGCAGCAAAACCAGACAAGCTGACCACTGCTGACCTCAGGGCCAGCTGCCCGGAACAATGACCCTGCCCTGGCTCTAGCCAATCAGTGGAGGCCTGAGAGGACACCCCTGGAAAGCTGATGAATATTCTAATGAGATCTTCCCCAGAATATTCCCATTAGAATATTCTAATGGGACCTCTCCTAAAACCTTTAACATCCTAAGGATGGGGGACCCAGCGTGCTCTCCCTCCTGGGAGCACGCCCCTGCCTCCCTACCCGCCCCCCCCCAAAAAAAAATGTGCCTCAGCTTTGGCTTCCTCACCTCTAAACTCCAAGGGCTTCCTTTCTTTGCCTCTGTAACTTGTGCCTAAGTCCATTTCTTCTATGAATTTCTTCTACCTCTTTTTATTTTAAATATATTTTATTGATTTTTTACAGAGAGGAAAGAGGGATAGAGAGCTAGAAACGTCCATGAGAGAGAAACATCAAGCCTCTTGCACACCCCCCACCGGGGATGTGCCCACAACCAATGTACATGCCCTTAACCGGAATCGAACCTGGGACCTTTCAGTCCGCAGACCAACGCTCTACCACTGAGCCAAACCAGTTTCGGCTCTTCTACTTCTTGATAGATCCTCCCTTCTCCCACCCATGATCGGAGTGAGTCCGTAACCTGCACCTGCGGCCTGAACATTCCTGAGCACCTAACCAGGCCCCTTACATGGACTGTACATTGAGTCACCAATCAGCACCTGCCAAATACCCTAACCACCCCCCCCCCCCACGATTCCTAAGTACCTAAGTGCCTAATCATGTGCCTTATGGGAAACCACCAATCAGCGCGTGCCGAGTACCCTAAGCCCCGCCCCTTCCCTTTCCTCCCCTCAAAAGGCGCCTTCACCCCGGCACGCATGCTCTCCTCCTTTGGGAGGCGGCCGGCAGGTCCTTCTCCTCTAGTAAAGCCTGTGTCCCGGTCTCCGGCCCTCTGTCTCATCTGTCCCCTCTGGGATTTTCCAAACCAACGTTCTCTTACAGTTGACGTCTTGGCTCTGAATTCTTTCCTCGCTCCAGGCTGCGGGACCCAGGCCGGGTCTGAGCCCACTGGCCGAACGCCTGGAGTTGCTCTTGCCGCCCCCAACACCACCGGGACCGCACACAGCGCAGGGTCCAGCCCACCCTGAGCGTGCAGGGCCCTGATCTAAGAGGGTTACGGATTTCAGACAGGGACAGCAAAGCATTAAGCCAAGGTGGGCCCTTCTCATCCATGAAGCCTGCCCTGCGTGAAGTCTTTGCTGAGCACCTACTATGCGCCAGAGAAGCATGAAGGAAGGGAAGGCACACAGAGACCAAAAGACCAGCTCGGTTCCTGCCCCCTCTGGCCACCCCCGCCCAGTGACCACCAGGAGGCAGTGAGGAGCTGACTTGGATGGCAGAGCTCTGGATGGAACCTGGGCACCTTCAGACTATGCTTACCTGGCCCCTGACTCCCTTCCCCGCCTGTCCATTACCTACTGACACTCCCAGGCCCTGTTCGCCGGCCCCTCCTCCGGGAAGCCCTCCTGACTGCCCCCACCTGGGGCTTCTCCGGCACCGTGCACAGGCTCTCGGAGGTGGACTAGAGTGGACTGAGTGTTTGTCTCCCTGACTTGGGCGCCAGGTACTCTTCAAGTCTGCTGCCCTGGCCCTGGCACACAGCCTGGCCCAGCAGACGGGCTTGGGAAAGGGAGGCAAAATGAATTACATTTCTACAGTCAGGTGGCTTAGGAGACAGGAGAATTGGGGTCAAAGCTGAGGCTTCATCTAGACTCATTTTCCAGATGGGATAGTTGAGTCCCAGAGGCAGACCCCAAGGAAGGAGGGCAGAGCTAAAAAAAAAAAAAAAAAAGGACCCCTCTCTCAGCCCCGGTCAGCAGCCTGCAGAGGGGAGCGCTCTCCTCCAGCCTCAGGCTCCTAACGCCTCCGTGCACAGGCTCAGGTGGGAACAACCAGCCGCTGCCCGACGCTGGCGTGCACTCATTCTCAGGGCTGTGCGTGCATTCCCGGACCCGGTCCTCCAGCAATCTGGGAGGCAGCTGCAATCACCGCCTCCCTTCTGCAGGTGGGGAAGCTGAAGCCGAAAGAAGTCCAGTCCCAGGACTGAGAAGGCGGGCAGGATCGGACCCAGGTCCCCCCAGCTGCACTTTCAAGCATCGTGCCAGGTGCATCTCTGCCCTGGGCCTCGCGGGGCCTCAGTTTTGTCCTCTGTACAATGGGAGAGCAAGGTGGTCAGGAGGCCCCATAGCTCCTTTGGGGAAGGAGTCTGACCTACAGCAGGCAGCGGGGTATGCTCTGCCCCCCAGAGTGTGGGAATCGGGAACCAAGGCTCCAGGGGCCCCACGGTCAGGCCTGGGCCGGAGTCCCAGCCCCCCTCTACTGGACCAATGCACCCCGGGGCCCTGGCCAGCTGGTGCAGTGACAGCTCCTGGCCCCCAGGGGAGTTGTTAGGGTCCCTCCCACCTCACTCCTCTGCCCTCCAGGCCTCCTATGATAGAAGGGCACTCGGGCCCCTTACCCGCTCATGAAATCGCCGAAAATGTAGAGGCCGTTCAGGTTGGGGTACTCGCAGCCCCGGTACACGTAGCCCCCGGTTACGGACTTGCCCAGCTTGTGTGGGTAGGCGAAGATGGGCAGCACGTCATCTGCAGGGCGGGGGAGCCGGGGTGAGTGGAGGGATCAGCACGCTCCCCCCAACAAATCTGTGTGGATGATCCTGAGTCTTGGGGGGCAGAGGGCTGTGAGGTCACTGGGAGGGCGGGAGATGGGGATGCAGGAGAGGGAGATGCTTAGCTTCCAGGTGCAGAGAAGAGCAAGGAGTGGCCAGGAGAATGGGGGAGGGGGGAGGGGGGAGGGGGAGGTCAGGTCCTGGGTGGGGTGTGGGGGACCGAGGAAGAGGCATTGGTGATCCCTTGGGGTAGATCCGGGATCAGGGGTTCCCCAGGGGCGGTCTCCTTGAGCCTGGGGCAGGCAGAGAGGTGCTAGTGCGCAGCCTTGGGGTGGGGAGCAGGAGTGGGAGCATGGGGGGATCTGGGAGGCGGTCACGCAGGGAGGCGTTGGCGCACAGCTTTGGGGGGGAGTGAGGCGTGGGGAATGGGGGTGTGGGGGGATGGGGTGGGGATGGGAAATGGGGGGATGGGGAGAAAGGGGAGCGGTCACCCAGGGAAGCGTTGGCGCACAGCTTTGGGGGGGAGTGAGGCGTGGGGAATGGGGGTGTGGGGGGATGGGGTGGGGATGGGAAATGGGGGGATGGGGAGAAAGGGGAGCGGTCACCCAGGGAGGCGTTGGCGCACAGCTGGCGGTCGTAGCACTCGAAGCCCTCCCGCGCGCGCCAGCCGTAGTTGCGGCCGCGCCGCACCAGGTCCACCTCCTCGAAGCGGCCCTGGCCCACGTCCCCGCAGAGCAGGCGCCCGCGGCCCGCGCCCGACGCGCGCTCCCCGCGGTCGAAGGAGCAGCGCCACGGGTTGCGCACGCCCAGCGCGAACACCTCGGGCCGCGCGGCCGCGTCGCCCACGAACGGGTTGTCGGGCGGCACGCGGTAGGGGGCGCCGCGCCCCGGGGGCTCCGAGGGCTCCGCGTCCACGTCGATGCGCAGCACCTTGCCCAGCAGCGAGGACCTGCGGACGGGGGAGGGGAGGGGGCAGGTGAAGGAGGGGGGAGGGGGGAGGGGGCAGGAGGGGAGGGGAGGGGCATGTGGGGAGGGGGCAGGCGGGAAGGGCGCGGCTTGAGGTGACTGCGCCAGGGCACCGCCCGCCAGTGGCTGAGCCAGAGGAAGGCGAGCCTGGCTGCGGCCCGGACCCGCCGGGTCAGGTGCTCCTCAGTGGCTTACCAGCCGGGTCACCTGTCACTCACTCAGCATTGCCTGCACCTGACTCTGGGCCAAGCCCTGTCCCAAGCCCTGGCCTTACACCCCACCTCCCGCCTCCTTCAGCCTCACAACGCACCTGTCCGCAGGGGGTGTTGCTGTGACCCCCACTTTACAGATGGGGCCCGAGCTCGGAGAGGTCACCTGAATGCCCACTCGCCACACCCATGGGGAACGGTGGGGCCCGGTCTAGTCCTGGCCGCTGGCCGCAAAACCCACACTCTTTAAAACATGCATTTTTATTGATTTCAGAGGGAAGGGAGAGGGAGAGAAACTTCAAAGATGAGAGAGAATCATTGGTCAGCTGCCTCCTGCACGCCCCCCACTGGGGATTGGGCCCACAACCCCATGTGAACTCTGGACTGGAATCAAACCCAAGACCCTTCAGTCCGCAGGTGGACGCTCTATCCACTGAGCCAAACCAGCCGGGGCAGAAATCCCCCATGCTGTCTACCCCAACCTGGACCTCCCCGCCCTGCGTCCTCCACGGCCACGTGCGGTTCTGCTGCCTGCCTGCTGAAGGGGTGTGCCGAGGGGGGGACATAAACGCTGCGGGAAACGGAGTCGTGGTTTTCTTCGCGCCCCGCACAGTGCTGGCACACAGTAGGCTCATCACGTGTTTGCTGAGTGAGTGAGTGAGGGTGTGGCTGAAGGCAAAGCCAGTGCACCATACAGAGTACAGGGAGGGCTGGAAGGGTGTGAGGAGACACTGCGATCTTAGCTGGAAATTGGGCTGAATTCTCACTCTCTCTCTCACACTCCCAGGGCCATCTGGGGTAGAATCACGGCACCGTCAGAGCGCAGATGGGCCTCCGTGTGGCCCAATGCACCCCACACTCTCCACCCCTCCACCCCCACCCCTGCCTCAAAGAGGAGGCAACCCAGGGGACCCCTTGCCAGGTCCCCCAGACAGCTGTGGACTGGAAGGCGGGCCACGCCACGGAGGCTTGCGGCGTCGCCTCTGGGGCCCTCCAGAGCCATCTAGAATGGGGTGCACACAGCTGGTGGGTTTCATCGGTCACAGGACACCACACACACACACACACACACACACCACACACAGGACAAAGTGAGCCCTGACGGGGGAGATGCCTGGTGCTTGAAGATGGGGCGCGTGGTTTTCCATGCACCTCCGCCCTGACCTTTGGGTTTTTTTCTCGCTCTTAGCACTTCCTGGCCCCCCTCCAGGCTGCTGGAGAAGGCAGGACTGCAGCCGTGTGCCCCTCCTTCTCACTGCATCAGCACCTGAGCGCTCCCTCCTCACCTCCCAGCGTCCTCTCAGGTGAGAAACCCTCCCGCCCTGTAGAGGCCCACAGTGAACCCCGCCCGCCAAGGGCTCCCACCACGCTGCAGACCACACCCCGGCTTCCCTGTGTGAGGGGCCACACGCACAGCAGCAAAAGGATGTTTTAGGTCCTGTCCGGTTACCCACAACTCCTTCGTTTCTATATTCTGAAACGTCAGCCCAAACGTGAGAACGCACGAGGCCTCTCACAGCCCCAGGCGGGAGCACGAGGCATCGGCTGGGAACACTGCAATCGCTGTCTCAGCACAGGGCTCGCTATTTTTACTTGCTGGGCTGGGAAAGCGAGAGGATTGGCCGTATTGGCTGAGAGAGTGGAGCGGCTGCCCTGGGACTCAGGAGAGCCTCGTCCAGTCTCTCAAGACCCATGTGTATATGTGTGTGTGTGGTGTGTGTGTGTGTGGTATGTGTGTGAGTGTGTATGTGGTGTGTGTGTGGTGTGTGTGTGTGTGTGTGTGTGTGGTGTGTGTGGTGTGTGGGTGTGTGTGTGGTGTGTGTGTGTGTGTGTGGGTGTGTGGTGTGTGTGTGGGGGGGGTGTGGTGTGTGTGTGTGTGTCTGGAGTGGAATGACGGCAGGCCATCTGCTCAAGCCAAAAAGCGACTAACTGCCCTAGCTCCGTGGTTAACAAACTGCGGCTCTTTGGCCCCTGGAGTGTGGCTCTTCCACAAAATACCACAGCCTGGGCGAGACTATTTTGAAGAAGTGGCGTTAGAAGTTTACGTTTTAAAAGTTTGGCTCTCAAAAGAAATTTCAATCATTGTCCTGTTGGCATTTAGCTCTGTGGACTGATGAGTGTGCCAACCACTGCCCTAGCCGGTTTGGCGCAGTGGGTAGAGCATGGCCTGCGGACGGAGGGCATTCCATTCCGGTCCAGGGCACATGCCTCGGTTGCAGGCCCAATCCCTGAACAGGGCAGGTGCGGAGGCAACCAATCACTGTATCTCTCTCCGTCTCCCCCCCCCCCCCCCCCCCGTTTCCCTCTCTCTAAAAGTCAATGGGGTAAATATCCTCAGGCGAGGAATAACAAAAATAAAATACTATAAAAAATAAAATACTTTAAAAAGATAAAAGAAGTGACTAACAGAACAAAACTGTGCTTCAGTGCCTGGGCCATCACGGGGAGCCTTGGGCAGAGCAGCCACGTGCCACGTAGCCCTGCTCCGCCCAGCTCAGGCTCCCCACGTGGTCTGAGGAGCACCCTTTCCTTCCTCTGCTTCCTGCAGGAAAAACCCCGTCTTCCCAGGTGCCCTCTGACGCCGTGCTGACCCTCCACAGACACCACCGCTGTGACCCTTCCTTCACACAGCGCCTCCCCAGGCCGAGGTGCTGCCCCCTCGAGCGGATAAGGGCAGGGGGCGGGTGGGGCCTCCGGCGGGCCAGCTGTGGCTGAGCCAGGCCCCAGGCCCCCAGCTGTGCCTGGTGCTTCGTGGCTGGGGAGGGGATGCCCCCCCTGGAACAGCATGGAATCCAGGGCAGGGGAGCCAGCCCGCCCGCCAGCCAAGAGCGGGACGTACTTGTTTTGGGCGTTTCCAAACTCGCCAAAGGGGTCTCCGGCCATCCCGCCGTCTCCGGTGAAGATGTAGAGGTACCCGTCGTCCCCAAAGAGCAGCTGGCCCCCGTTGTGGTTCGCCGCGGGCTCCTCGATCTCCAGGATTATCCTGAGAGAAGATGCATGTCCCCGCCCCCAGCCCCGAGACATCCTCAGCCAAAATACAGAGCAAGGCCACCGCCTGGCGCCTCCTCTCTCACCAGCACCGTGTCACGGTGGCATGTCCTTTCCAGCATGAGGCTTTTACAAAGATCAGGAGGGCCGGGCATGGACAGTCCCCTCTGTGGCACTAATGAGAACCTGGAGGCTCAGAGGGGCTGACGAACTTGCCCAAGGGCACACAGCAGAGCTGGAACCAGAACTCGGTCCGCTAGTTCTGGTCTCTCGCTTCTTCCACTGCTCCCGCTGCTGGCCCCTGCTCTGCTGTGATCACGCAGGACTGTGGGCCCAGGCCCAGCGGGCTGTCCTATCAGGCACAGGCACCCACACGTGAGCTGAACACTCATACACTCCCTCCTGGGGGGGAGGTTGGAGGGGAGGAGAAAGGGAGCAACCAGGGTCAGTCAGTCAGTCTCTCTCATCTCTCTACTCATCCTCCCCTCCCCCCTCTCCCTCCCCTCTGCTCCCTTCTCTCCTCTCTCCCTCTCGTCCTTTCCTCCTCCCCCCCCTCCCCCTCTCCCTCTCTCCTTCCCTCCTTCCCTCCATCTCCCTCTCTCTCTCCCTCTCCCCCTCCCTCTCCCTCTCCCTCTCCCTTCTCCTCTCTCCTTCCTCTTCCCTCCCTCTCCCTCTCTCTCTCCATCTCCCTCTCCCTCTCCCTCTCCCTCTCTCTCTCCCTCTCCCTCTCCCTCTCCCTCTCCCGGCTGCATCTTGGCAATAGTCTACCTCCTCCCTGGATTCAGCTCCTGCTGCCCAGGCCCACCATGGTTCCAGCTTCCACTGAGTGGCCCCGCTTCAGGGCTCCGGTGCCCCCACCTCCTCACTCTGTCCTCCAGCCCGAGAGGCGAGACAGCATCCTTCACCTGTTCCCCTCCCAGTGGCCGCACTTTCTCCCCGCATCGCTCTGCCATCATCCCGCCACCCCAGTAACGGCCATGCCCAGCTCTGCCATGGAACAACCTGGCACAGGGCTTTTTCCTACGGGGCTCGCACTGATGCATGTGCCTCCCACGCCAGGTCGGGCCCAGCCCGTCTCAGAAACAGCCGGGCGGAAATAAGACGCAGAGAGCAGGACCAGTGCCGACAGGGACAGAGGCCTGGAGGCCAGGGATGGCTACACCCACTGTGGGTGGGGAAGCGGGGAAGGTCCAGGCAAGGAGAAGTGGAAGGCCGGGTTCAGTCCCTCGGGGCCCTGGGATGGATGGGCTTGCAAGACAGACAGGCCAGAGTGCGAGCTCTGAGCTTCCTGGCTGTGCGACCCAACAGGCCCCTTCACCCCTGACGCCTCCACTCCCTCGTCTGTGAAATGGGACGGTCACGCCTGCCTGGCTCGGCGGCTTTACGAGAACCCAGTGGAACCAACCGCCTGAAGTGCCGGATCCAGGGCTCTGGGTCCTGTGAGGTCTCTGTGGCAGCTGTCCCTCCCCCGACCCCAGAGCACAGGGGTCGGACCCTCTCCAGGGCGGCACGGACACCACAGAACCACCGGTGCCCCCCCCCCCCCCGGCCCCGTGTCACCCCCGCCCCCCGGCCCAGCCCCCGGGAGGCCACCTCTCAGAGCCGTGGTCCACGGCGTTCACGTCGTCCTCCGAGACCCTGAACTCGCTGACGCGGACCCACTCGCGGGCGCCGAGCCCCACGGAGTAGTAGACGTAGAGCCGGCCGTTGAGGCGGAAGCGGGGGTGGAAGGCCAGGCCCAGGAAGCCCCTCTCGTCGCCCTGCCAGGGCGAGGTGAGCACGGCCCGGCTGACGTTGAGGAAGGGCCGCTGCAGCCGCGCGCGGTCGGGCAGGTAGGCCCACACCAGCCCCACCTGCTCGGCCACGAAGAAGCGGTGGGTGCCGTCCCCGGCGTGGACCAGGGCCACGGGGTTGCGCAGCCCGCGGGCCGCCTCCTCCAGGCACAGCTGCAGGCAGCCCCGGGCGTCGGCCACCGCGCGGCCCAGGTTGGCGTTGAGGCGCGGGCTGGCCAGCAGGCGGGGGAAGCAGTAGTCGGCGTCGTCCAGGGCCAGGTAGCGGCAGAACGCGGCGCGGTCGCCCTCCAGGGCCCGGAGCCGGGGGTCGGGCGACAGGTGGCGGAAGAGGCCGCGGCAGGTCTGCCACAGGCCCCGGCAGTGGTCCTCGCACAGCCCGGGCAGGGTCCGCAGCGGCGTGGACGGGTCCTCGGCGTCGTAGAGGTGGGCCGCGTAGGGCGAGCACTCCTGCGGGGACAGGGGCAGCTGGAGGGGGCACTTGCTGGCCCTGTGGCCTCGGGAGGTCGCCCCGCCTCCTGGAACCCCAGGCTGCTAATCTGTACAAAGGGGACAATCCCATCCGTCACCAGGATTGGACGGCAGGCCTCCGACCTCCTCAAGGTCATGCTTCTGTTAGAACCACTGACCGCGATATATGTTTTATTGATTTTTTTTTTTTTTTACAGAGAGGAAGGGAGAGAGATAGAGTTAGAAACATCGATGAGAGAGAGAGACATGGACCAGCTGCCTCCTGCACACCCCCTACTAGGGATATGCCCACAACCAAGGTACATGCTCCCTTGACCAGAATCGAACCTGGGGCCCTTGAGTCCGCAGGCCAACGCTCTATCCACTGAGCCAAACCGGTTTTGGCATCGGCAGCGACTCTTGAGGACCTACTGTGTGCCGGGAGGGCCTGAGGGTCTTGCACATGCTTTCTCTTCTAATCCCATTGGTGCCGCGGCCCTGTAGCTGCATCATATGCTCCTTTGCTCAGCTCCCGACTCAAGGGCCACCTGGTGTTGTCCTCCCCAGCGGCTGCCAGAGCCATTTCTCTATGAGACAAGGGATGGGATCCTCTGGGCCCCACTGGCCCCTCTCAGCTCTGCTGGCCTCTAACTCTGTGGGACAAAAGCCAACAGCCCAGGTCCCCCCCCCTCCACTTCCCCAGGGCCTCCATCGGTGAGGCTCTGTGGACCCCATTCAGTGCCCCCACTGGGAGGGAGGGGAGTTCACGCCTCGGGGGGCAAACCTTCGCTCCCTGGGAGAAAGCTGCTGGAGCTGGATCGCCCTGCCTTCCTCCCGGCCCACAGGTCCTGCTTCCCAGTTTGCACAGTTCCTTGGAAAGGCGCTCCCACTGGCGGAAGCATCAGCCACGTTTAGCAGCATCCTGGACTGGGCTCTCCCTCTGCCCTGTGTCACTCACCAGAGTAAGGAAACAGCCCACAGGTGTTGCCCCAGGTTCTGCTTTTTGGGACCCAGACGGAGGCAACAACCCTGCTCTGGCCTCTCCCAGCGTCCAGCCTGCAGCCCTGCCTCCAGCCTGAGAGCCAGGCACGGGGACCAGGCCCTCACCGATCCCCACTCCTCTGGCCGAAGCTTCACCACTGCTCTGCCATCAGCGCCTGTCCCCACCGCTCCTGCTTCCTGCCCACACTTCCGCCTCTGAGCCTCAGCAGGCGCTGTTCCCTTCCCAGGCCTGCCCTTCCCTGCAGGCAGAATGCTATCCAGTCTGAAATAATAGCCATGGCCATGGGAGAAACGGCAGCGAACAGGGACAGCCCCTGGGTGCTGGGACAGACTGTAGCCACCGAGGGACCAGGCTGGGTCCTCCGGGGAACCTGAATTTCCTCCTGAGGCAGCTGCAGGCGGGAGGCTGGCTCCATCCCCGTGGCTCAGATGAGGAAGGGGAGCCTCGGAGAAGGGAGCCACTGACCAAGGCCACATGCCAGTGTGTGGCCAGACTGGGCGGGCGGAGAAGCAGAGAATATATATCCCAGCTCCACTGGCTGGCCAACTGCCCACCCCCACGGCCTAGTGACGTGCCCCCCCCCCCAACTCCTTGGCACCTCCCCTGTACCCCACCTGCCCAGAGCAGAGGCCTCACTCCCTCGCTCTAGAACACATGTGTCAAACACAAGGCCCGCGGGCCAAATCCATCCCGCCAGGCCTTGCAATGTGGCCCGCACCGCGCTGTCATCACTGCACTCCGCTGCGTTTCCATCACAATGACAGTTTATGACAGTTCAGTAAACCATTTGGCCCGCGATTTAGGCTGGATTTTAGATTTTGGCCCCTTCTCTGATTGAGTTCGACACCCCTACTCTAGAAGGACCTCCCTCCCTTGGAGTCCCTGACGAGAGCAGATGTAGTTACTCATGTCTGAGTCTGACACATCCCTGCCCCGACCATGGGCTCCTCAGGCCAAGGTCTGCTCTGACTCAACTGTGGGCCCAGGAGGCCTTGGGGGTAGCTACGCCCGTGGTAAGGGAGGCACTGACAGCAGCCCCCGCCCCCCTCGTGGGCCGGGCCGGGCCAGGCTGGGCTCCAGCAAGAGGCCTCCAGGGGAAGCGGTGGCCGGCTGCCCTCTCGGCTGCGGGCCAGGGGCTGCTCCCTCCCGTTACATGATTGTGCTTTTGGTCCCACCACAGCCTCTCCCTGGACCCTCCGCAGCTACCATGGAGCTGAGGGCCACCTGATGACGTGTGCTTCTTAGAGTCGGGTCAGTGCCTGTCTCAGGCTCAGACAGGGACGGCGCATTTCACACGCTCCACTCTGCCGACAAGTGGGGCAGACGGCCAGGCCTGGCTCTGGGCCGTGTCACCTCCCCGCCCCCAGGGTTCCCCGGAGCCTCCTGAGCCCAGCCAGTGGCTGTGGGAGGACCAGGAGGGTCTGTACACACATGTCACTTAATCTTCACAAGGCTTGTTGTATAAACCAGGAACTTACGCTTACAGAAAGGCACCTGTCAAGAAGTGGCCAAGCCCTAACCGGTTTGGCTCAGTTGATAGAGCATTAGCCTGCGGACTGTAGGGTCCCAGGTTCGATTCCAGTCAAGGGCATGTACCTTGGTTGCAGGCACATCCCCTGTGGGGGAGGGGGGTGTGTGTGCAGGAGGCAGCTATCAATATTTCTCACTCATTGATGTTTCTAACTCTCTATCCCTTTCCCTTCCTTTCTGTAAAAAAAAAAAAAAATCAATAAAATATATTATAAAAGAAGAAGAAGGAAGAGGAGGAGGAGGAGGAGGAGGAGGAGCCGCCGAACTGGGGCCTCGTGACATCCAGACTCCACCAGGTCACAAGCCCCACTCGTACTCGGGATACTCAGGGAAGACCACCTGTAGACACCATCGCCACCTCCTTCCCTGCCCAGGCCTCACCATCCCTCTGACAGACAGCAAGGATCTCAGCTCTGAAGGAAAACATTGCCGCTCTTCAGCAGGAAGCAGTTACAGAGAGACTCTGTCCCTTTTCAGAGCCAGGATTCTTGAGGTGGGGATGTGTGGGCAGTTAGCCGGACAGGAGCAGAGCAAGGACGATGGGCAGAGCAGGTACAGAAGGTCACCAGAGCGGAACACCCCGGGGCCCAGCAAAGGACAAGTGTAGGGGGCCTCACCCCCAGGGGGACCTTTCCTCCCCTAGCATCCCCCTGCTCCTGTGTCTTGGTCTCCCTGATTTTCCTCCTTAGAGATAGCCAGGCCCAGCTGTACTTCAGCTCCAGGCCCAGAAAAGCAGCAAAACCGGACAAGCTGACCACTGCTAATCTCAGGGCCAGATGCACTGAACAATGACCCTGCCCTGGCTCCGACCGTCAATCAGTGGAGGCCTGAGAGGACACCCCTGGAAAGCTGACGAATATTCTCAATAGATCTTCCCTGGGACCTCCCCTAAAGCCTCCACCCTTAACACCCTTAGGATGGGGACCCAGCACGCTCTCCAGCGCCTTTCCAGTTCCCCTCCCTCCCCCGCAGGCATGTCACCTTTACCTTCCTCACCTCTAAGCTCCAAGGGCCCTTCCTCTGCCTCTATAACTTGTTTCCATCACCAATTTCTTCTATGAATGACTTCTTCCACCCCTGAGATTTTATAAATGAACTAGAGGCCCAGTGCATGGATTCGAGCACCAGTGGAGTGAGTCCCTCCTCCTGGCCTGCAGGGAGGGGGCCGAAACTGGCTCTCCGGCAGCCCCCAAGGGATCCCAGATTGCGAGACCCCTCCTGCAGGCCCAGCCCCCAGGACCCGGATACTTACTGGCTTCCTCCTTCCTCCTTTCTGGGTCTGGGGTGCGGCTGAACCACACTCGAGGCCAACAGTGCCCCAGCAGTAACCTGACCCACAGCCGATTCCAGAAGGAATCAGGATCCCTTCTCTACTGTTCAAAGCGTCTGCCCCCTGGTGGTTATTGCACATCACAGCTACCAAGCAAACTATTGGTCAGATGGTCACTTAGGCTCTTATATATGTAGATGTTCTCTTATAGTTTGAATTTTTTTTTTAAGTTCAGTACCCATGCACTGAGAGAGACACGTGTCTTGGAGACCTTGCTCACGGCCTGTATCTCTTCCTTACACGCCATGCACACCTGGTGCCCAGACCAGGGCAGTCCAGAAGCAGGAAATGAGAAGAGGGGGCAGTGATCGCTGCTGATGAGGAGGACAGTCAGCAGCTACGCTCAGAGTGGCCAGTGGGGGAAGGCTGCAGAAAACCCAGGGAAAACGAACCAGCATCATACTGCCCTGGGGCAAACCACTCACCCACCTCACTGCCCCAAGGTGCCCCTGGAGACTCATGATCCTGAGTCCTGAGGCTTCTTTAAATATATGTAGAGTGAGTGTGTGTGTGTGTTGATTTTTAGAGAGAGAAGGGCGAGGGAATGGGAGAGAAACACTGATGATAGAGAAACATCTATCAGCTGCCTCCTGCACACCCCCTACTGGGGATTGAGCCTGCAACCTGGCATGTGCGTGGAACCACACTCAACCACTCAGCCACACCGGCCAGGGCGAGTCCTGCAGGCTTCTGACGTCCACCAGCCGTTCTCTAGGAAGACCGAGGCTCTGCACACAGCGCCCGTGTGGGGTGGTCCCTCCTTGCCCACTTCTGCATCTGCAAGACATGGCTTGGGGCCCCACTGAAAAGCCTCCACTGACTCCTCCCTCCTCCCAGGGCTCTGGCTCTCCCTGACCAGCGGGGGAGGGCTGCAGAAAACCCATGGAAAAGTGGTGCGTGTGTGTGTGTGTGTGTGTGTGTGTGTGTGTGTGTGCACTGATCTTCAGGGACGCTCCCACAGCCCTTGGTTCACGCTGCAGATGCAGCATTCACCAAATTGTACTTCTGTTGCTCGTGGGGTGAGCTCATTGCTTCTGCTCTCACATTGCAATTTGCCAGAATCGGCTCAGCCGGTCTGCTTAGCTACGACTTAATCATCTCTGAGCATGTCTGCCCGCCCCACAGACTAGGGGCTCCTCCAGGGCAGGGAGCCCGGGGCTCAGCACACAGTGGGGCTTCGAGAAGACAGGCAACAGACACAGTGATCGGGAGAAGGGTTTTGGAGCCAGAGCAACCTGGAGATTGAGCCTGCCTTTCCCTGTGTACCCGTGGGCCGGTTCCCTAGCCTCTCTGCGCTGTCCCCGTCCCAAAGAGAAAAGGGATCAGCTCACAGAGTTGTTGGAAGGAGCAGATTGAGATGATGCATGTGTTTGCTCAGTAAATGCTCAAACAACACAGGCTGCACAACTTGACGTTCCCGCCTTCAGAAAGCCTTTCCCAACTCTCCCAGGGAACGTGTGGCCTTTCCAAGAAAGGTCTGGAAGGGCCGGGAGGGACCATCGCCCTCCAGCTTAGGAGCCATCGGGGCCTCAGGAGGAGGTATGGTTGCCAGACGGGCAGGTTCTGGAGGGGACTGTGGGGGTGGGCGTGTTTCGGGGTCTTCCTCCTCTGCAGCCCATCTCCCCAAGGCAGAGGTAAATGCCTACCCTCGCTATCACTTGCAAATAAGGCACTGGCCACCGCCCCCAGTGGTGGAAATCTGGAGGTGCTGAAGCAGAGCACAGTCCTCTAACAGGTCCTCTTCCCATCCCCCCTTTACCGGGTCTGGCAGGGAAACTGGAACCAGCCCCACTGCCCTTTCCAGTCGTGAGGTCACTCCCAGAAACGCCTGGGGTGAGGTGCTAGCAGCCACTCCACCGACCAGCTCCTGCCCGGAAGATTCCCAAGGAAAGGGGGCCCTCCTTTCAGGGGAGGGAGCAGGACTGGCCCCTGCCTCCCTCTTCCTCCTAGGACAGGCCACTTCTCTGCCCCGCTGAGCCTGCCACCCAGGAAGCGCTCGGCCAACACATGGGGAGCGAGTGCGCCACCCTGCTAAGTGATAGCGGTGGGGAAGCCATGGACCTGGGCCTGTGGGGCCCCCGCAGGAGCCGGAACCTTGACCAGACCGGCTCGCTCCCAAGATGCACAGCAGGGGCTCGAAGAGCCCACCGTAGGCAAGCACCCCCTTTGTTTTGTTTTGTTTACATTTCTTTATTGATTTCAGAGAGGAAGAGAGAGGGATAGAGAGACAAAAACATCAATGATGAGAGAGAATCATTGATTGGCTGCCTTCTACACGTCCTAGGAATCGAGCCCACAACCTGAGCTTGTGCCCTTGGCCGGAATCGAACCTGGGACCTTTCAGTCTGCAGGCCGACGCTCTATCCACTGAGCCACACTGGCTAGGGCCAAGCACCCCCTTTGCATGCTGGAGCTCCTCAGGCCCCCATTGGCCCCCATCCCCTCTTATTTCCTACCCAAGTGGCCACTCACCTTGGCAATGAGTGAGGGCCCAGGGCCCATCATGGCCACCACGGAGCTGTGTGACCACCCAGCAAGTCCCTGGCTCTCCAGGCCCTCGCTCAACCGGCCTCTAGGCCTCGCTCGGTTCCCACCAGGGGCTGGGCAGCCAGTGGGGGCCAAGAAGGCATGCACTAAAGCACATGTGTCAAACACAAGGCCCACGGGCCAAATCCGTCCCGCCAGGCCTTGCAATGTGGCCCGCACCGCGCTGTCATCACTGCACTCCGCTGCGTTTCCATCACAATGACAGTTTATGACTGTTCAGTAAACCATTCGGCCCGCGATTTAGGCTGGATTTTAGATTTTGGCCCCTTCTCTGATTGAGTTCGACACCCCTACACTAAAGAAACCCCACTGGAGATGTCCACTGAGCCCCTAATATGCATCACGGAGTCTGCATGGCAATCCCGGGGGCAGGTGAGATTGCCTCCATCTGACAGGGAAGGCGCTGTGACTGGCGAGGCCAGGATCAAGCCCCAGAATGCCCGACTCCCAGCTGCCCTCAGCCCCTCCCGCAGGCCTGCCCCTCCTGGCTGGGGGCTGAGACCTGGTGCTGCCCCGCGGAACCTGCCAGCCCCAGTCCTCTCACTGCCCCGGTGCTGGGCCAAGGCCAGCCTCCAAGCGTCACAGCCTTGACCCCTGCTGGTTCGTGTCAGGCGCCGGGAGTCAGACCCTCCAGGAGAAGGGACAGTCAAGACCACCCGGTGTGAGCGGAGGCCCGGGGGGCCGCCCTCAGAGGGGAGGGGGGGCGGAGAGGTTTCACCAAAACGGTGTCACTAGGGTGGTCTTTAGAGATGGGAGCCTCTGCCTGTGGGGCGCCAGCCCAGAGAGAGGGGCCGGGCGGGCGGGGCGGCAGGTGCAGGAGGCATCGCAGCCTGGGGCTCACCGGGGGTCCCAGGATCCCCACACCCTTTCGCAAACACAAGGCCACAAGGCCAGAGCGCCCACCATGCCCTGGGCATCCCTGGGACAATGGATCCCGGCCCGGGTACCAGACCAGGGCGCGCTCCCGGCGGCGGGGTCCTGGAGGGCTGGCAGAGGAGCCCCAAGCGCTGGGGGAGTGAGGACATCCTTCCTCCATCCCTCCCGCTGGGGAAACTGAGGCCCAGGGGAAGCCCAAGTCACGGAGCCAGGGAATGGCAAAGCCCTGGTGGGCCATCCCAGGATGCGCGTCCGCCTCCCCCGCCCGGGGCCCCAATGCCTCCCCCTGGGGACCCTCTGCCCGCTGCCCACGGGGGTCCCCGTCCGGCGGGGTGGTCCCCCCTTCCTCCGCCCCCGCCGCCGCGCCCGCTCACCTGGCACAGCAGGTCGAGCGCGGAGCCCGCGCACTTGGCCCAAACGCCCGGGGCCACGCGCGCCGCCAGCGCCCGGAAGCGGCGGGCCAGCGCGGCGTCCCGGCCGGGCGCGCAGCAGCCGAAGGCGGAGTACTGGGTGCAGAAGGCCAGCGGCCGCGGCGGCCGGAAGGGCGGCCTGAAGTCCAGGCACTGCGGGTGCCCCGCCGCCCCGAGCGCCCGCAGCGCCAGCAGCAGCGCCAGCAGCGCCCCGCGCCCGGCCCGCCGTCCAGGTCCCGCCATGCCGCCGCCGACCGCTCCGCCCCGGCCCGGCCCGGCCCCCTGGGAGCCGGCCCCTGCGCTCCCGCCTCCCTGCTCCCCGCATCCTCCCTGCTCCCCGCATCCTCCCTGGGCCCACCCCGCAGCCCGCGCTTCTGGCCACCTCCCCGGCGAGGAGGGCCCCCTGGTCCAGGCCGCCCCGAAGGAAGGGAGGTGCCCGCAGTACTTGGAACCTCGCTCAGCCTCTGTTCCCGCTGTTCCGGCGGCAGGGCCTCCTGGACGGAGCCTCTCCAACACAATGGCAGGAGCCTGGCCTCCTGGGGCCGGTGGGGCCTGGCTTCTTCGTTTCCCGTTCTGCCAGGGACTCGGCTCCCGCCCTTGGGCGCTATTTCCTCCTGGAGTTTCGGGAGCCCTGGCCAGAGGCCCTGGCTCCTGGGTTTCCATCCCGCTGTTAGGACGAGGGTCTGAAGGTCTGGGCAGCTCTGCGTGCTGTCATTGAATGGCACTCTTGTAAGTGTTGGGATGCAGCTTAGTGTGGAGAGCGGCTACAGCGTGTGCACAGGTTCAAGCCTCGGACTGATGAGAGGGCACAGTCCTCTCGGGGCCACGTGCACGTCCCAGCCTGGAGGGCAGAGCCTCCCAGCACGATGGTAGCCAGCAGCTGTAGTGGAAAGCTTGAACATATGGTCCGAACGCGTGGCCCCACGTGCCTGAGTGATATAGGCTGCAAGTAGGTAAGCAAGGCTTGATCAGGTGCATGTAATTGATTAGGATCAAAACCCACAGAACGTTGTGAACATCTTGACCACACCCTTCCGTTGCCTCTTGGCATCTGCTTTATAATAAATACACACTTGCAGTCCGTGGCGCAGTCCCTAGCTCTCCATCAGAGGAGCGCTCCATGAGAGAGGGCAGCATCCGGCCGAGACCCAGCTTCCATTCTCTTGTCTGTCTTTTCTCAATCCTTCACCGCCCCTCTCGGTTCACCCTTGGCTGTGCTCCTTAGTGTTTTGCACATGCTTATACTAACACACTCACATCACAGCTTAGTGTTTTGCAGCTGCCGCTGTAAACAAAATGACCTTGACAGGACCTCAAAGGGATAAGCGTAGCCAACCGCAAAGAAGGCATCAACAAGTAATTGACCTTCCGGGAGACAGAGCTTTGGACACCAATCCCGTCTCCTGTGCTTGCTGCAAGAAAACAAAACTGCCTGGCGGCCACCCTGTCTGGTTACTGAACAGAGCACCCCAAGCAGCAAGCCCTTTAAGCTCGCCAAGCCAACATGGCTCAGTGGTTGAGCATTGACCTGCAAACCAGGAGGTCATGGTTGGATTCTGATCAGATTCCCCACCGGGCACATGCCCAGGTTGCAGGCTCGGTCCCCAGTAGGGGGCATGCAGAAGGCAGCCAATTGATGATTCTGGCTTATCAGTGATGGTTCTGTCTCTCCCTTCCTCTCTTTTCCTCTCTGAAATCAATAAAATATATATATATATATATTTTTAAAATTCTATATCACCACCTCTGATGGGGCCAGGGTAGGGATGCAATGGAGCCAGTGGTTGGATATTCGTACAGAATCGCTTAAAAGTGGGGAAGCAGCCCTAACCGGTTTGGCTCAGTGGATAGAGCGTCAGCCTGCGGACTCAAGAGTCCCAGGTTCGATTCTGGTCAAGGGCATGTACGTTGGTTGTGGGCATATCCCTAGTGGGGGGTGTGCAGGAGGCAGCTGATTGATGTTTCTCTCTCATCAATGTTTCTGACTCTCCCTTCCTCTCTGTAAAAAAACTATAATATATGTATATATGGAGAAGCTGTGGTGCAAAGTACAGGTATTGTTGCCCGGGGAATCACAAGTAGAAGTGAAACCTAGGCTGGGGGTGGCCTCCAGAGTCCACCCTTGGTCCCACCCCAGGCTTCTTCCTTTCTCCCCTCTTGAGCCAGCAGATCCCCCTGTAGAAGGGCCTGCTGGGCCTGCTCCTTCCACGGCTGCAACCCTCCCAGGGGCATCCCGCCTCCACCCTGCAGCCCTGGCCGGGTCCTGCCCTGTGCTGCACCTCTGGGTCCCAGTCCCATCATCCGGCTGAGGGAGCACAAGGGGAGGCCCGCAGCCTGCCTGGCTGGCTCACGTGGCAGAGCTGGAGCTCGAGGGCCCAGGCTCTCCATTTCTGCCCTGACACGCAAGGGGCTCGGATGCCGGTACTCCGTCCTGCCAGTGAGAAAGACGCTAACAAGCTGAAAACCAACTCCTTTTATCAGGCCCGTTGGAGAACTGAGTTCTGAGGCCCACCCCCCAAAAAAACCTGAGGACAAGCAAATCCCGTCTCAGCCATGACCTGTTCCCCAGGAGAAGGGGCTGGAGCCATACACTGGTAGCATGACTGACACCAACAAGCTGAAGAATGGCTGGGGGCAAGTGGGCACTAGGATGAAACTGAGACACCCAAGGGGGGTGGGGTCACAGTCTAGAGTAGGGGTGTCGAACTCAATCAGAGAAGGGGCCAAAATCTAAAATCCAGCCTAAATCGAGGGCCGAATGGTTTACTGAACAGTCATAAACTGTCATTGTGATGGAAACGCAGCGGAGTGCAGTGATGACAGCGCGGTGCGGGCCACATTGCAAGGCCTGGCGGGACGGATTTGACCCGCGGGCCTTGTGTTTGACACATGTGGTCTAGAGGAAGGAAGCGTAGTTTTGTGATTTTTACCTCCAGGAATCCCCCCAAACTCCCTCACGGCTCTCACAGGGGGCGTGGGAAAGTAGTCCTTGTGAAATGCACTCCTATCGTTCCTCTCAGCCAAGGCCCACTCTCCAGGGAAAATTGATTTACCAGAAGCTACCTGCCCCGGGTGCGGGCATTCCCCCAACTCCCGCCCCTCCAACCTTCCTGTGTTACCAAAGAGGGTGGTGGAGGGGTGGGCTAAGAGGCACTAGTGACCGTCACAGCCAGGGATATACGATTAAGAACATTTCTCCTCCCCACCCCTCACTGCCACCTCAATCAGCCTTCAGGATGACAGGGCCACGTTTACAAAGCTCCCAGACACCATCTGAGGAGGAGTTCTTCGGGAATTGAAAAAAAAAAAAAGATGACAGAAACAAGGACGCCAGAGGAATCGGCAGCCGCTGGCTCCTACAGCTCCCGCAGAGATGAAACGCCAGGCTAACAGACATCCTCACACAAACAGCCGGCCCATCTCGGTTCCTGTGACCCAGCACGTCGTGTCTGGCTTTCAGCAAAGGTCGCACGGCAGGCCACGTAATAAGAAGAGACACCAACTGGAGAGGAAAACATCAGAACCAGACCGGGGCAAGACGCGGAATTTGGGACTGTCAGACAGGGAGTTTAAAATAGCTATGATTAATACACTCAGGGCTCTTTTCCTAACGGAAAAAGTTAGCACGACGGGCAGTGTCAGCAGAGGGGTGGAAACTTGAAGAAAACAATGTAAGAGAAATGGTGGAAATCAAAAACACCCGCGGAAAGGAAGAACGCCTGGCTCTGGCCCGGGTGGCTCAGTCGGTGAGGCGTCGTCCCGGCCACTGAACGGCGTCGGTTCGCTTCCTGGTCAGGGCACATGCCCGGTTGCTGGTCCAATCCATGGTAGGAAGGCATGCAGGAGGCAGCCCATTGGTGTTTTGCTCTCACTTCGATGTTTCTCTCTCTTCCTCTCCCTTCCTCGCTCTATAAAAATCAATAAAAAAATATTTAAAAAAAAAAAAAAAAAAAAGGAGAGAGACAAGGAAGCATAGATCAGACTGTCGGACCTCAGAGGGAAGGTAGCAGAGGGTGGGGGTAAGGGGGAGAGATCAACCAAAGGACTTGGGTGCACGCATATGAGCCTAACCAGTGGTCACGGACAACAGGGGGGTGGGGGCATACGTGGGGAGGGGTTTGGGATGGGAATGGGGGGATGAGGACAAATATGTGACACCTTAATCAATAAAGAAATTTTTTTTTTAAAGGTGAAATGCCTTTGATGAGGCCACCAGTGGATTTCCAGGGGGAAATCAGTGAGCTTGGGGATACGTCAGTAGAATTATCCAAACTAAGATACAAAGAGGAAAAAAATGTTCTGAAAAATCCAACAGATCAGAACATCCAGGAACTGTAGGACAATTTCAAATGGTATAATATATGTTGGAAAACCAGAAAGAGCGAGAAAGAGAATGCAGCAGAAGAAGTGTTTGAAGTAATAATAGCCAAGAATTTTCTAAAATTAATGACAAACACACAAAAAAAACAACAGATAAGGAATTTAAGAACAGCTGACCTACAGGACAGAAATGGCCGCAGACTTATCCTGGGAAGCCAGTCAGGAAGAGAGCGAGCCGAATGTTTAAGTGGTGAAAGGGGGAAAAAGCCATCAACATAGATTTCCCTACCTGGCACAATTGTCCTTCCACAGTGACGGGAAATAAAGAATTTCTCAGAAAAACTAAAACGGGCATGCAGCAGACACAGAGATGCCCTACAAAAAAAATGTTCCCAGTTCTTCAAAGACAGGCTGGTGTGGCTCAGTTGGTTGAGGTCACTGGTTCAATATCCATTTGGGGACACATGCCTGGGTTTGGGGCTCAATCTCCAGTAAGGGGTGTATATTGATGATTCTCTCTCATCATTGATGTTTCTATCTTTCAGTGATGTTTCTATCTCTCTGAAAGAGAAGAAGAGGGGCCCGGAGCAGCCGGGCCCAGAGCAGCCGGGTCGGGTGCGGCCAGGCCCGGAGCAGCGGTGGCCAGGCCTGGAGCAGCCGGGTCTGGTGCGGCCAGGCCCGGAGCAGCGGCTGCCAGGCTGGGAGTGGCCAGGCCTGGAGCAGCGGCTGCCAGGCTGGGAGCGGCCAGGCCCGGAGCAGCAGGGTCTGGTGCGGCCAGGCCCGGAGCAGCAGCTGCCAGGCAAGGAGCGGCCAGGCCCGGAGCAGCAGCTGCCAGGCTGGGAGCGACCAGGCCCAGAGCGGCTGGGCCCGGAGCATCCAGGACCAGAGCAGCTGGGTCGGGTGCGGCCAGGCTCGGAGCATCAGCAGCCAAGTCCAGAGCAACTAGG